TCCGGGTAGTTCAACGTAGCTAAGTACGCGGGAGCCTTATCGACCTGCTTAGTTGCTGTTTTGAATTCGATTCCGATTAAAGAGAGGTATCAGAGGGGTAGAGCCACTAGCGAAACGGTTGGAAGAATAATTAATGGGGCATAGGCGGTGGTCTATTGGGTCACAGAAATTTCTAGTAACAGTAGAGTTTCTTGCTTATAATGTTCTTCGCCGGGTGTCGCTGAAGCCTCGTTGTAAATCCCCTAAGGTCGAGTACCAACCGAGTCGAGAATCGGCTTAAGCGAGCAAATGCGATCACATTCATTCCTCCGATCCGTCCCACAATTATACATATATTTTTCGCTATCATGCCATCGTCATCCCGCTCATTTCATCCATGGAAATCTAGCCATTAAGGAACGCAAAAGTCAGACACAAACGCCTCGCTTCATCCTTTTCGAGATACATATATTTTATCGTTTTTTAGTTAGATTTAATTTCTGCAATTTATCTTTTCAGCTTCTTCGATTGCATGAACTCATTGCACTTTTTCTAATTAAATATAGGATATTCGCATATTCCCTGAGTTTGACCCGGACACTCACCGGTTAAAGATATTTTTTTTTTTTTGACGAAGTTTTTGGAGTTACTACACGAACACGCACGACACTATTTTCATTTTATACATATATCATTTTTTGTATCTTACAAGATATTTTTAAAAATCTCCAAAAATCTTCGATCACCTCTCTAAAAGTCCCCGAGCATTCCACCACTTTTTTCCATAATTGATTATTTCTTTGATATCTCTATTTCCATTTATATAACATAACGAGATTGGATAATCTTATATTTCACAATCCTAATCCTCCTACAGCCTTAGGGCGTTGGATTAAGCACCACTTCGCCATTCTCAACTTAGTTTTATCTTCTCTATCCCTAAAAAAAATAACTTTCTTTTAAGCTCCTCTATCTTTTCTGCAACTCCTTTCGGGATCCGAAAAATAGAAAGGAAGTAGGTTGGCTGAGCATTACAAACCGCTTGAATAAGACAAGCTCTTCCCGCATGTGAAAGCAATTTCTCTTTACATTGGTTTAGAGTTCCTTGAATTTTCTCGAGTAAAGGCTTCTATAAGTTCATCGCAACATAACTCCCTCCGATAGGTACCCCAAAATATTGGCAAGGCCAGTGCCCAACACCACAGCCTAGCACCTCCCCCCTAATCGCCAGCTCTTCAGTATTGACGTTTATCCCATACATCTTGGTCTTCATCATATTAACCCGAAATCCAGTGCATATCCTAAATATCCTCAGAATACGCCGCAAGACCACAATCTGCTCCACGTCAGCTTCCACAAAAAGAATTGAATCATCAGCATACTGAATATGGCTAATTGTCTCTCTCTGCCTCCAAATTTTGATACCTCTCAGATAATGTAATTCAATTGCTCGATTAATTAGAATACTCAGGATCTCCGCCACCAACAGAAATAAATATGGGGACAAGGGGTCCCCTTGGCGCAGTCCCCTTTTCAACTCGAAAAAAATCTGTTGGAGACCCATTGATTAAAGTAGCCGCTGATGCCGATTTAATGCATTTAAGAATCTAAGAAATCCATCTTGCACCAAAATTCATCATTTTCAATGAGTTTTCCAGCGTTTTCCATGATACGCTGTCATAGGCTTTTGCCATATCAAGTTTAGTAACAAACGATCGAAACTTGGCTTTTCTCGCCCATTGAATAGTCTTTGAAGCTATAAGGATGCAATTCAAGATTTGTCTTCCTTTCACAAAAGCCATTTGCTGAGGGCCAATAATATCCGGCTATCACCTGCCGAATTCTGAGACTGAGAGTCTTTGCCACAATTTTATACAAACTTCTAAGAAGAGTAATAGGCCGAAAGTCATCAAATGATATCGGGGATGATGCTTTCGGGATAAGCAATAAAAGCTGCCCTAAAACCTTGGGGGGTTTGAAGTTGCCACTGGAATTTATTCACAAATTCCACCACCCTTTTACTTAAATGATTTCAGAAAATTTTGAAGAATCTCAGATTAAAACCATCTGGACCCGGGGCTTTCTCACCTTGGCAGTTTTGCACCGCATTCCAAATATCATTTTCTTCGATAGGACGATTTAACCATGCTTTCCACACCTCAGAAACCCGCGTAATCCCCACTGGGGACAACCGGGGCTAACACCCCATCACTTCTTGAAAGTGATTACAAAAATAGGCTTTAGCCGCCATTTTAATTTGTGACGGTCCTTCCCATGATTCTCCATTCTATAAAACTTGTAAAATCTGGTTTTTGGAGTACCGAATCTTACAACGAGCGTGAAAGAACCTGGTGTTCCTATCATCTTCTTGGATCCAGATATCTTACGACTGTTGCTGCCAAGAACATTCTTCATTAAAATAGGTTCACCACAATTCCTTTTCTTCTTCCAGCAACAATTCACTAAATCCGCATCTCCCGATTTTTCTTTCAACCTTTCGTCCAGCACCTCCAACTCCTTTTCTAATTTATTAATTCTGATCTTGAATCCACCACCACAACAACCCTCCCACCCTTTGATAACTATTTTAAGGTTCCACAAAGTTTTCCCGACGTCTTCTCTATAATCTTCTTCCTCGCCATCTCTCCCCCACTGATCTTCCATCAATTTATAGAATTGTCGATCCTAAAGCTTGTGGTTGAAAAATTGGAATGGTTTTGGGCCCCAATCGATGACCCCCAACTCCAAGGATACTGGAATGTGATCCGATAGACAATTGTCTTTACTTCTTTGGGACCATCCCCTTTCTTCCAAAATCCAATCCACACTCAACAAGAATCTATCTAAACGAAAAAAAGATCGTCATTTGTTCCCATCCCAAGTAAATTTCCTACCCACCATTGGGATATCAACCACTTCTATACTGTTAACCAACTACAGGAACTCATGCCTAGATTTACCATCGTCACTATTTTCGATCATTTCTTCTTCACAGAATGTGGAATTAAAGTCACCCCAAACACCACCTCCCTGCCCTTGAACTCATATCTCTCTCTGGCAGTCGTTCACCTGTCTCCTTGCATTGATTTCATTAGGAGTATAGACATTAACAAAATTTAAACTTTCCGTCTTCCTGATCTTTCTTCCTTTTAATCAAATAAAGTGTTGAGTATCTTCCATCAATTCTAATAGAAATAATTTTATATTAAAATTAAGATAATTAATTAATTTAATAAAAATTATAAAATATAAAATATAAAATATAAATAGTAAAATACTTTTCTAAAAATAGAAATTGATATAATATGTTGGACAAGTGTGTAAAATACTTTTCTAAAAATAGAAATTGATATAATATGTTGGACAAGTGTGATATAATAATTGTTTATTACAGAGTTTGTAATAAATATATCTATTTATTTTAAAATAGTATTTTATAAAACTAATTAAACTTTAAACCATCATCACATTTAAATTATGTACTTCCTAAATAAAGTTTAGGATGTGTTTGTTATAGGAAAAGGAGATATAAAAATTGGAGTAGGTTTGGTTTGTATCTCAAATACATTACTCAGTCTAATGATTATAGTAAAAATAGATTATTATAAATTGTTTTTTTCACTTTTTTATTTATTTTTATTTATTTCTCATATATAGAGAAATAAAAATAAATAAAAATTGAGAAATGCATATAAATGTGTTTATTTGACAATTCTTTTGTTCATTTTTTTTACGGTTTTTCTTTAAAAATAACTCTTTTTTTTTTAATAATCCAAAATAATAAAATCTTCAAATATGCAACTACACAAACATGAGTGGTGTTCATTCTGAACTTTTAATTGTTATTATTAAAGATTAATTAATTGTTTAATTCAATATTTTGTGCGGAAAGTATGTATTAATATAATCAGTGACCAAATTAGCCCCGGAGATTAGGAGAGAGGAGGCAAAATATAAGTTTATTTCTATCCATTCGACTTTTTTTTTTCTTCTTTGGTGCAACAATATAAAGTTCGTATGAGAAAAAAATAAAATAAAAAAATTTTTGAACAAAAATAATGTGCTTGTAGCAAAAAAAAAAAAGGAACTAACTATATAAATTTTATTATTTTTTACTAAAAAAAATTGAATACTAGAGTAAATCAATAAAACTACATAAATTTTATTATTTATACACAAATAAAAATAGAATACAAAACCTGGGGAGATAAATTATTAAAAATATATAACTTTTTTATGTTTTAAACTAAAAAAAACAAAATATATAACTTTTTTATGTTTTAAACTAAAAAAAACATATTTTGAAGTTTGGGAGAGCAGTTGCCCATAGCCCTCATATAGTTTCGACAATAAATCTAATTTCTTTAAAGAAAATTTTTAATGATTTATGATAAAAACTATTCAAAAACTCAATAATAATAGTAATGTTAATAATAAAAGCAAAATTGTTAATAAGATTAACAAGTTGATATTTACATAAAAGGTTTTGGATGTTTTGATATTATAAATCAATAATAAGTTTTTTAAAATCATCACATTATAAACTTATTACTTTTCATAAAACACATCATATCAAATAATCAATTGTACTATTCTCTCTTTTATTTATTTATTTATTTTTTTTGTCAAAATTTAAAAATTTTCAAAACTTTTATCTGAATTGAAAAATAATTATAATAAAAAAAAATCATGCATGGGTATGATTGTTTGGAAGTTTGGATTTTGAGTTGAGATTTGAATAGTAAAAATCTTGAATTGAAATAGTTGTATGATGTGATATAAATAATGTTGATGTGATATTTTGAATGTAAAATTAATTTTTAAAATAATATAAAAAATAAAAAATAAGTGTTTGATGTAATATTTTTAGGAAAAATTATTTGGATAAATAGTGAACTTTTGGCAAAATGCCTCGAATAAACACACGCATTGATGTGTTAAAGCAAAAGAATAATGATGGCAACATTGTAATCATAAAATATAAAAAACAAAAGTATGTGTTGTATTTGAATGAATGTATATTACAACCTTGATTTCATAGAAAGCCCTTATTGATTCTACAACTTTTATACCACAAAATGCAAAAACACAAGAATCTATACCCCAAAATGAACCCTAACATGACCCCTAAATTGGTCCATTTTAGTGTCTCCTTCAATCCTTGTTGCCTCAAATAATCTTCACCATACACAACACATTCACCGTTCCTTAATTTTTCCAAACACTTGTCCCTACCCTTCCCTCCATACTCATTAACAATCAAGCTTTCAAAAGGGTACTTAAAAAGGCTCACATAGTGCATAAATAACCAATATATGGGTATATCGGCGCGCGCGATGAAGTAGCCCGAGAACAAGAAGAAGCTCCCCATGAGGCCCGCGATGATCGATGTTCCCATTATGAAGTTTGGCACGAGAGCACTACAAAACGCAGTAAAAGAATTTGATGTCAGAACGACCAACCAAACGACTAAGACAAAGTAGAGAAAGCCATCTGTATCCCTCCTTAGCCCGACGAGCCAATATGCCGGCGTGCTATATAAAAGGCTTATTAGGAGCAAGAATGGGAGGAAAACGAGGGTGTTTGCCGTTACGTAGGATGTGACTCTATAAGATCCACTTGAAGTTTCTCTGTTAAATATACGGCGTTCTTGGAGAAAGATTGGTAGGCCTTCTGTCGTGGATGATAAGAGGAAACTTAGAGTAAAGGCAAAGAACCCTAGCCGAGTTTGGAGGGCTACTTGGCCGTGATTGTCGTTTAGCTTTATGTACACGGTCCCTAAAATGGATCCGACTAGGATGGATTGGATTGCTTTGGTCGCGAAAAGTTCCTTGGTTCGAAAGATATTCTTGCAAAATCTATCTCCGAGTATTTGAACCTCCTTAATGTACGAGTTTGTGTAGGACGGGGTTGTTTCTTCATTTCTCGACGAATTGTGATCGAACTTCATCCTATCATCAATCTTGCATTGTGTGGCTTCGTCACAAATGGTGTTTGCAACTTCAATGGCGAATTCGAGAATATTGATGTGAGAAGGGATGCGATGCCCCGCGCGCAACAATGAGTTCTCAAGTAGTAGCAACGAACCGTTGTGCAAAACCCGTCCATGCGACAATAGGACAAGGCGATCGAAAAGTTCAAGGATTCGAAACCCGGGTTGATGGATGGATAAAACGACCGTTTTTCCTTGATTCAAGACCATCAATTTTAACAACGAAACGATATGAAGAGCCGAGGCAGAGTCCAAACCCGACGTGGGCTCATCGACGAGCAACACGGGAGGATCGTGGACCAACTCCACCCCGATCGACAAACGCCTCCTCTCGCCCCCGGAGATCCCGCCGCTCGATCCTTGCCCGACCCTCGACCTCGCCACTTGATCGAGTCCGAGATCATGCATCAACATTTTTACGCGTTGCGACGCCACTCGTCTCCCGCCACGCATCCTCAAAAGCGCGCTATACGTAAGCGTTTCCTCGACGGTTAACAAAGGGAACAACGCGTCGTCTTGAGTGACATAACCGGACAACCTTCGAAACATCCCACGCCGGACCGGACAACCATTGACGAGCACTTCGCCGGAAACCTCTCCTAAAGGGATCTTTCCGGCGAGAATCTCCAACAACGTCGTTTTTCCGGCCCCACTCGGCCCCGCAATCGCCGTGATCTCCCCCGGCTTCGCGACAAGGCTCGCATTCTTTACGATAACTCTACTCGACGAGACATTCGGATCGGTATCGCGGCCGAAGAAAGGCCAATGCATAGGATCGTATGGACTATGCCAAGTGTAGGACAAGTTTCTAGCTTCGATAGTGTAGGAATTTGACCGGCGGACCGGCGCCGGAGCCGGAGACCTCACCGGCAACTCCATTGAGGCAAGAACGGTGGAACCAAAGGGATGAATGAAATATGTTCTTTCTTGGGAGATAATGTACAAAGGAGATGAACTAACACAACAACTTCATTATATATATATATATATATGTATGTGTTAATGTATGGTTTCGAAAGACATCTTGGAAGATCAACAAAGGGCTTGAATTGGGAGTGTTTCTTGTGGGATGAACAAACATTCTGAGTGTGTTCTTCTCTTTCTTGGTAAACCATATTTTGACAACCCAAGTTTGGTGCTTCTTGTTGAGCTTTTCATCGGAGGTCCAGGGACTCCAACGCCTACGTGTATCTGCAGCATGGGTGAGTAGTACCTGTGCTAGTTCTGAGGTCCCGGACTCGCTGCGTAACTTTCTTGAATTGTAAGGGTGTATTTAGATAGAAATTTTAGAAGTTTTATTTTTTTTTAAAACAAAACTAGAGTAATAAAAAGAAAATTATTTAATATAATAATTTTTGACATGATAAATATTTGATTATATATATATTTTTAATAAAATTACTATTAATTAATAGTGTAAAGATTTTAATAAATGTGTATATTGGCTATTTCTCTCTATTGTGTATATAATTGGGTTTGGATTTATTTATTTATTTTATTGAATAATTAATTAGGTGCTAATAACTACTTTTGGTAGTCTTTAATAGTAAATGATTACTATTTAGTATGTACCTAACCCAACTAACAATTTTCTGCCATACCCTAAAACTCACTACTTCACAAATTGGATTTGGTTGATAGTTTCTCTTACTTGTTCTTTTATTTTTTATAATATATTTTTTAAAAAAATATTCTATCATAAATTCCTTTTTAATATATTACATACACATATATATATCACATCATATTATTATTATAATTAAAAATTTTACTATTTTAAAAACACTAAAATAGAACCAAACAAATTTTGTCTTTTTTTTTTTTTTAGTTTTGAATATGAATTGCGATTTATTTAGTATTTTAATATAGTTTATTATCAGAAAAATATAGTTATATTTTCATTGACAATTATAAAAGTGAAAAGTGAGAGAAGAAGGAGCGGCAAAGAAAAAATATTTTAAGTAATATATATTTTATTTAAAAGTGTGCTTTCTCTGTTCCGGTTCAATATATTCAATTTTTTTTTTATTTTTTATTTTATGTAATAGAATTAAAAATAACAACATTCTATTAATAAACGAAAGTATTTAAGATTATTTTGATATTTATATTCTTGAAAGTACAATTGAAATTAAATTTTTTATTTTTTATTTTTTATTTTTTTTTAAAAGTTAAAAATATTTTAATATTTAGATATAATTATTTTTATTATAATTGTAAATAAATGCAAACTAAAAAAGAAAAAGGATATGTTGAATTTAAATGGAGAGCATACTAGGTCATTTCCAACCTAGGAACTTTATTTATGCATTTTAACTCCAAAAATGTAATTATTATAGTATTTTTATTTCAACTCATAACTCTATTTTTTATTAAAAAATATATTTTTCAAATATTCCATATTATTTCTTTTTTTAAATCACTTTTTATACTACAAGTAATATTAATTTTAAAAAAGATAAAAAAATATTTTTTTCTAAAAAAACAAAAATGTAAAAAAAAGAATTAAAAAAAAATTGACACTCTTTGATCCAAAGCTGCAGCGGAAAAAATGCAACCCTATTGGAAATGCCTAAAATGCATAAAATATTTTATATTTTTTCATTGCATTAAACACATGTGTTAATGTAAAGTTTGCATAAAATAATTTTTTGATTTAGTCCCAACAGAAATCTAAATTACGCAAATTTTATTTATAAAAAAATAAAATATTTTAAACAATTCTTTTGAATAAAATAAAATGCATGAAAAATAAGTGTTTGATTTGATGTTTTTTACGGGGAAAATTGGGATAAACAGTAGAAGTCCACCAAAATTCTTCAAACAAACACACCCAAAGAGGTTTCACGTAATAAATAAAATACAGAGTGTTCTATGTATTTTTACTGAAACACAATAAAGTTTTATATAATTTACACTTTTTTATACTCCCTCCGTCCACGGATAAAGTATACAGTTACTTTTGGCGCGGAGTTTAAGAAATAATGGTATTTTAATTATAGTGGATAGGTAAAAGTAGTTTAATGACATTTTTGCCCTTGCTTTTTGGTATAAAAGTAATGATGTGATGTAAAGTAAGGGTATTTGTGGAAAAAAGTGGGGTATTTAATGAAATGGTTACTTTGTAATTGGACGTCCCAAAATAGAAATATGTATACTTTGTAGCTGGACGGAGGGAGTATTATATATGCATTTCTCTGTACCTTATATAAAACAAATGTACTATTTTATATTTTTTTATATTATACTAAAAATCAATTTTATATTCAAAATATCACATCAATACCTATTTATATCACATCATACAATTATTCTAATTCAAAATTTACTTCATCCGTTCCACTTATCATGTCCACATTTCTATTTCCGTCTATCCCACTTATTTTGTCACTTTTTTTTATAAAAGAATTATATATTTTAATTTTTTTTTAAATTTTTAAATTTAATTTTTTTTTAATTTAAGTAAATTAATTAGTTATTATAATCTTTAATCTATAATTATTTTTTTATACGATAATTAATTTTAATAATACATTCTTAATTATTTATTAATTATATCTCTCGTAAATTCACACATATAATCCAGAATGAAAAGAGTACTATATAAAAATCCCAAATTAAAATGTTCATATATAAGTATATATATATGTATATAATTTTAAAATTGATCAAAATATTATGATATTATTTTTTATGTTAAATATGAAAAAACATATCAATAATATAAAAAATAAATATTTTGTATTGAATTATTTATCTTTTAAATGACTAAAGTTTCATTAACTTCTAAGGATTATATTTACATTTTGTCTCATTGTATTTAACATTATAAATATTATTATATTTGTATAATTTTTTGTACAAATATCATTATATTAGTATTATAAAATATTAATAAAAATATTTTTGCTCTTTCCTCTTAATTTGTATTACGTTTTGATATAATAACTAATATTCAAATATCAATATAAAAAAGCTAATATGACCCTTAAAATATGACAAAGATGGTATTATATATATATATGTATTTAATAATAGTAAAAAATATTTCAATTTTTTTTGTTGAAATAGTACATCCTACATAATGAAGGTAATACTCTATTTGTATTACTCAAAAGTCATGTTTTTATTATTTTTGTCTATTGAATTTAAATATATAGTAAATGAATTTCATATTGATATCAAAATAATTTTAATTTTTATAAAACTAAAGCTATACTATTATACATGTTAAAAGAAGAATTTTTCTTTACATGTTTTGTCATGTGCGCATCACACATCATTCTTGTTGTTGTCGATTTCAGTTTTCAAATGCAACAAAGTTGATCCATCAGGTTGCTGCAACAATCTGTCAGCAATCATGATCTATTTTTATCTTTTTTCGGTCGGTGGATACACAAGACAAAATGGATGGTTTGAGGTGGTCAACTTGTCATCAGAAATATGCAGAAATACTCCATACCATTTACATGCAAAGAGAAATTAATGGGTTTTTTTTTTTTGATGCACAATATGGTGGTTGTTTAGTCGGAGGAGAAATGTGTTTTGGTAGTTACTAGGGTTTTGAAAAATTTGTTTAAAGTGAGAACATGTTGTTCAATCCTCTCACTCCTACCCATTTTCTTCTGCATGTTCTAAATGAGTGTTTGACATTTTAATCCACCGGATAGTTTGTTAGATGAATGAGTCACTGGAGTTCCGACTAGAAGAGATGACGAAATTTTGAGCAACCTTGCTCTATGGTAATTGTCAGGACGAGCGTGTAACAACGTGAACCTGTGGAGGGGTTTTTCAAAGTAGACCATTGTGGAGGTATGGGTTGAAGGAGTTGCGGTTTTTTATATTCTGTAATCAGTACTCATTAGTAGAACTCTTTCTACATTGGTATGCCCTGGATGTAGGTCGATTTATAACCGAACCAAACTAACAAACCATTGTCTCATTTGTTGCTTTGAACTTTTGCATTCATAATATTGACAATATAGATTATTATAATTTTGAACTAACCACGTTTTGAGAGTTGACCCTATTTAAAGTGTTCAAAAGTATTTCGGTGGACTATCCATTTTTCAACAATACATATTATTTTATACATAAAATAAAAATAACAAAAATATTAAAATATCATTACATATATCTTTGAAATAATAAAATATTATTATTTTTTAATATCCCGAAAAAAAAAAAACAAAATATTATACATTTGTTGAATCAATGGAAGTATTATTTATAAATTAGAGCACTTCCAACATAAATTCAAGCCATGAATGTTTTGTATGTTGATATTTAGATGGATTTTGTAGAAACATGTGTATTTTATTTTTTTTTATTGTGCAATTTTAACCATTATTCAATTTTGTTTGTAAGTTTTAGATTGATATTTGTATTATTAATATTTTTAAAAAATAGATTAAATTTAATATCTATTTCTTATTTTTATAATACACAACAAAATTAATTGTAAATTTAAAATATTATATAAATATTTATTTGTATGATATCAAATAACTAATTTAATTTAAAATTTTATTAATCATATATTTCTCACGATTCATTAGTTTTACTTGGTTAGTTTTGCCGCAATCATGAGATATAAGGTTTGTTTGGTTAGTGTTTTGATTTGAAGAACCTTTTTGATGTAAGAGATAGAGGATTGTGTCGGTAATATAAAAAAAAAATTATTTTATGTTAGAATATTGATTTTTGTGAGATGATAAAATATATATGAAAAATAGTATAAATTTTTTTTTAAGCAAACAAACACTATAATTTTGTTGATTTTAAAAATATTTTAAATTTATTTTTTATTTAAAATAATTTTATAAATTATGTTTAGAATAATAAAAATATATATAATTAAATAAAGTTTTCAAATCAGAGATAAATATAATATTATACTTCATACTTCCTTCGATCCAATTTAAACTAATTTTTTACTATTTTCATCTATTCTACTCAAAACTATTACTTCCTATTTTACCAAAAAAATAATCATACATTAATACTAACTTTTACTTAAATTACAAACATACTATTCCATATACAAATACTTTATACATAAAGTCAAAAGACAAAAATATCAAAATCTCTTGTACTCTTTAACTAACCAATAAAATATTATTATTTTTTTAATGTCCTCGTACCTATATTACACAATCTAAACTATTGGACTACACTTTCATTTTTAATATAAATTTATTTTAGTCTATTTATAAAATTACTTTTAAAATTATACTTCATTTTTAAAATGGGGGACTAGGCACCGGCTGACCTTGACGGGCTACGGCACGGCCCAGTTCATACTCGTGTCGGGCTAAACACGATTTAATTTTTTTGGGCTTATTTTTTTAGACCAAACACGATTTTTTTTTGCAGAATTTGAGTCAAATTTTTGAAACTTTTTTTTTTTTGTTATTTCTATAACCACTTGAAAGATATTAAACTTATAATGTCACAGCATGTCAATCAGTATTTAACTGATTGAGCTAAACTCCTTGACCGTTATTTGCAAATATATGAACCTAATTTTTATTACGAGTTTTTTTTTTAATGATATATTTTAAATTTATATAAAAGTTAAAAAGAACTTTGATATTAATATAATTTTTTTTAATATCATACAAAATTATACTTCATCACTTTGTGTCATATATAATTATTTTGTCATTTTTGTCTTTTTAACTCAAATGTATCCGAACTCTTTTTAATAAAAATATTTTTTATTTTACAAAATATTACAAACAATGCTACATAAAAAATATTTAAGGGAAAAGTTATCTTTTTTATTGTACTATTACCTAGAAAATACTAATATAATATTAATTCCTTCGTCCAAACGTTATCTATACATTTGTGTTTTATGCATTAAATTTTTAAATATAATATTTAAATAGTGATTGGTGATACATTTTATTTATAATTTTTTGTACTGTTTGATTTTAAATTTGATGTAATACTTTATTTATCTCAATTGAAAATACTAATTTTATGGTCTATCCCATATTAATATAAAAATATTTTAAATTTTTACATAAATTACAAAGATACAATTACATATATATGATTAATTTATACATAAAATATAAATAACAAAAATATCAAAATTGGCGGCGGCTCTGGCCCAAAAAACAATATGGTCATCGGCTTCCTTTGACAATCTTATATACTTCAACAGTTTTACTAACCAATACACTATGGGTGTGTTTGTTTGAAGGATTTTGGTGGATTTCCACCATTCATCCAATTTTTTTCCCCCAAAAATATCAAATCAAACACCTATTTTTCATTTTTTATATTATACTAAAAATCAATTTTACATTCAAAACATCACATCAAACCCTATTTATATCACATCATACAACTATTCAAATTCAAAATTTTTACTATTCAAATCCCAACTCAAAATCCAAACCCCCAATGATATCAGAGACGGAATTATAAATAGAATTACGTTAGCTACGTGAACTTTAGGGACAGAATTCCATTACAAATATATTATTATTTTTTTTAATCATAACATTATAATATTTTTTAATCTACTAGGCAAATTCAAAAGATTACATTGGAGTGAAAGAAGGAAATAATATTTATATAAATAATCATAAATATGATAGGTATTTATAATATATAGTATTGTCACATTTATCCAAAAAAAAATATAACAAAAATACATTGTATATTTAGATGATAAAACTAAGACAAATTTACACAAAATCTATATATAATTTCACGAAATTGAGTTAAATATTCCATATAGGTTTTATTGTCAGTATCCTCACACTCGATAATTTTTTATTCGGATGTAAATGCAAAAGAAATCAAGAAATGATCTTGATCACATATAGTACACCGTATACTGTTGCAATTAGCAACATCCATCTAAAGTGTGTAAACATATATTGTTGAATAGAATAACAATACTAGTATTATATTTTGCGAAATATATATATTTTCCAATCATTATATTCATATAAGTTAAATATCATATCAACATAAAGAATATAACAAATATTGTTGAGTAGTACAACAACCGAAGTATAATATTTTTTGAGAAAAAAATTGTGACAACCCGCATTAAAGCGTAAATAATTACCACATCTGTCTAAAATGTCTAGCATATACTTCTGAATTGAACTAACAACAGTAGTATTATATCTTGCAAACAAATGTATATATATATATATTGATTATCATATTCATGTAAGATAATTGACATATCTACCTAAATAATATAATATATTATTGACTAGTACAACAATAGAATTATTATATTTTTTCAAAAAAGAAAAAATTGTTTCAACCATCATTTTCGCGTAAGACAATTATCATATTCATATAAAGTGTGTAGCATATACTTCCTCCGTCCATTTACAAGAGTTACATTTACTTTTGGCGCGGTGTTTAAGAAATAATAGTATTTTAATTACAGTGAGTAGTTAAAAGTAGTGTAATGACATTTTTGCCTTTACTTTTTTGTGTAAAAGTAATGATGTGATGTAAAGTAAGAGTATTTGGGAAAAAAATAGAGTATTTAATGATATGTAAACTTTGTAATTGGACGTCTCAAAATAGAAACATGTAAACTTTGTAAGCGGACGGAGAGAGTATTTTTTAATAGAATAACAACAATACCTATTATATCTTGCAATAAACAATACCCATAGATTTGCATGATAAAATGAAAAAAAATATATATATATATATATACTATAATAACAGAACAAAGTATTAAAGTTTAGAAAAATGTAGAGCAATGATAACCAGTAGCAAGAATGATATGAAATAAGATAACAATATTGTCCGAAATACTAAAAAATGATGTCATTTATTTACATAGCATTTTCAATGTGATGTTAGACTATATAAACGAATATTAACAATATGGATTTGAGTTTAACCATTTACGTAATCAACCTTCAAAGATTCTTCCCGTCATCGCCAAGATATGATTGGCGGACTATGAAATTCAATCTGCAAAAAATTCTGCCGCAAATTAATTAAAATATAATATAGAATATTTTTTAGGATTTTAGGTATTTTATATAAAAAAATAAATTCATAAATAATTGTAATTTATTTTTTTAAATATAGATCCATAAATTGGGGATGAAATTTTTGTTTCCTAAAAATAAATCCACAAATTTAGAATGGAATTTTTGAAATCAATTAATTCCATAAATAATGACTGAGTCATAAAAAATATATATCATATCTTTGGTTTATTAATTACATTATTTTTTAATATTCATTGCATCATCATTTAAAATGATATGTCGTATTGTTGTTTTCTCGTGAGCATATAATTGTTTTTTATTTGATACTTTAAAAAAAAAAAAAAAAATTAAATATTAAAAAATCCATCGAAAAAGACAACTGAAATTTTGAATCAACGAATTTTTTTTTTGCCAAATTCTAATGTTGTTATTTGAATTGGGGTAGTCGATGTTGTGTTAGTAATTATTTTTTAAAAAAATTATTATTTATTTTTTAATTTTAAAAAATATATATTATTTATTTGTAAAAGAAATTATATCCAATCATTTTTCAAACTGAGTATTCATATAAAGAAACACCAGAATTATTTTAATTTTCTTCGTATAATTATTGCAAAAAACTCAATAAAAATTAAATGTGTTCTTTTTGCAAAATAAAAACACACAATTTCCAAAAAAAAAAATAAAAAATAAATCAATATTTTACATATATTTATTATATTTATATTATTTATAAATCAAATTTATACTTTATAACTTGAAATAAAATTTAGTATACATATATTACAATAAATAAAAATATTAAGATGAGAAATTAGAATCATATTCCAATTATTTTAATTCACTATATATTTAAAATTAATCAGAACTATATTTTATTTAAAATAATCTGTGACAAATAAAAAAAATATCCAAAACCTCTTATATTAAACCCCTCTATTAGATAATACACTCACCAGACCGCAAAGCACGTGTGGGGAACATATATTCCTCTTCCGCCGCGGCCCCGCCGCCGCCGCCGCCGCTCATCTCCTGCCGGCGGGTGTCAAAATCTGGTTTCTGCTTCTTCTCTTACTCTAGGAATTCTTGTCTCCTATATGAGATTTCTGAGAATTTCGGTTTTATTTTGTTCCTGTTGCGTTAAATTGGTGAATTTTGGATGATCAGCGTAGGATTGTGGGGATAGAAACTTTCGCTTCTTTGCTGTTCTAGTTTGAAAGGAAGGGAAGAGAAAGTTTGAGGAGTTGAAAGAGTGATTCAGGTGCGAGAATCTGCTTTCAAATTGATGGAATTTATTTATATTCTGGAGCGGTGTAGTTTGGAAGGGGGGAAGCTTTTTCTTTTTTTTTTTTCATGCGGAGATTTGTGAATTCTGTTTCGAATTTGTTGATCGTTTTCCGAGTGAATCGCGTAATTTAAGCTTGTGTGATCATCGTGTTTATAGTTGTTGTGGTTGGGCTTAGTGTCCTGGTTGCTTGATTTATGGTGGTTGTTTCGAAGGTGAACTTATGGTTGTGATTTGATGATTTGTTCGTATAATATTTGGTGCTGTTAGGATTTTTCCTTCTGTGCATATAGGGGATTATAGTATTCAAGTTCAATTAGTTTTTTCATCTTTTGTGGTTATGGAAATTTGGTTGATTTTGATGAAGATTCATTACTTTTAGTTGATAACTTTTCTTTGATTATTACTATTATCGTTATTGTTGTTGTTGTTATTTCCTGAGTTCTTAATGAAGATTTATTATCTCAATGCTTTCTGGTTTAACCATACTGTAGGGGTTTGGTGTCACTCCTGCTTGCATATTGGAACCATCTTGATTCGACTTTTCGAAACATCTTAGGTCTTGAAATGGATTTCACATTGAAAGGCAAATCTTGGGCTGGCAACATATACCACCGGTTCGAGTCTATTTGTCATGATGTTGATGATTTAATCAGTAAGGTAATGTCTCCGATCTTTCATTTTTCATCATCATATTGTGTATTGGTGTGAACAGCTCTATTTTTACAATAATTTACGCTAATTATGACAAAGAAGTTGCCATGTTTCTGTGTAGCCCTATGTTCCTGTAGTGTATGTTCTTCAAATTTCTTTCGGGAAATTCAGCGATGTTGCTTACATAAGTAGGGAGGCTTAGCCAATGGATTTCTTTTTCTAATTTGTGCAAAATTGCAGCCTATTGGACACGACACCGTGAAATTCGTTGAGAACCAGGTGCAAAGATTTTACTCTAATGCCGCACAAGATATTACTCCACCTTCTGGGGACACTGTGAAATCCAAATCACAATCTATGGACTGCCAACAATTTGAAATTCCAGATTATGCAAGTTCAGTTCTAGACTTCAGGGCGGAGCCGGTCTGTGTTAAAGAAAACCACTTATCTGCATACAAAAAGTGTAGTGATACTACAAGAAATTCGGATGCACAACTACAAAATGAACTTGGCCAAGGAATGCAATCTACCGGGAACCCGTCTACAGATGAATCCCAAGAAGAGGAAAGTAATCCGCAGTTTAGAGAAGATGGCAATGACATAGATCCACATGATGATAACACTAAGAATTCAATGCAGCTAACTGCTAGATCAAGTTCTAGTAAGGGTATATGTGCTGAAATATCTGATGATGGTCGTACCAATTCTTCATGGGTATCAGATTCTCTGCCTGTTCCTTCTTCTCATGAAATACAAACATCTGGTGAAGATCTCAAGGTTTCCAATCTCAACATGGATTATTTTCCCGAGCTTGAAACTTTAAAGAAAGAAACTATCACTTGCCATAGCTCTTCTGATGACATTGGATCTCCATCTAATGTTTCTGTTGGTGTCTGTGGATCCACACGTAAGTTGCCAATGGCAGGGAAAATAAATCCCTACTTAAATATAGTTTAATTAGCATTGTTATCTAATTTCAGCTGATAAAACTTGTGCATCCTTGACAGCAGATTCGCCGACTCGTTCCTCTGTTTCTGATGATAATAGAAGTGGATCTGCACCTTCAGAAACTTCAGCTGTTGAGTTTAATGAACTCGAACTCCTGACAATGGATTCACCTCTGCCTTCCACTAGCAATGCAGCTGACAGATCATTGGGATCAGATGGGACTCTGTTCTCCCAGAGCTTTTCAACTAAAGATGAGAACTTTGAGTCATCGAGCTCCATCCAATCATCCAACCCCATGAAGTCCCGTGATTGTTTGAGATCTAAATCTGCAGACTCTATGATAAATGTCAAAGATACCGAACACTTCCATCAAGAGTTTCACCCCTGTGCTTACAATAGCTCAACTCCCTTGGAAGGTGTGGCTGATGATACCAGGGCCGTGGATGCATTTCCCACTCTTTTTATCTCGGAGTTAAATGGTTGGTACATATTGATTTCTTTCGTCAATCCTAATTGAATACAATGATTGCTCCTCTTTCCATTCGTTTCATGATTTATGATAGGTTCTGCGCTACTAATGTTTACTTTGGCAGAGAAAAATGCTTCCCGGATCAATGCATCAAAGCTGGAAGCTGGTTTGTCTGAAATCAGACACAAGCAGCAGCCCCAAAATGGCGACTCAAAAATTTTGATGCTATCCTCTAAAATTGGTACGCTTTTCAGATGGTTTTATGTTTCTTGATTTGATAGGAGTTCTGCACTAGTAACTTTAACTTTGGCAGAAAAAAATGTTTCCTGGATTAATACATCAAAGCTGGAAGTTGGTTCGTCTGAAAGCAGACACAAGCAACAGCCCCAAAACGGTGACTCAAAGCTATTGATGCCTTCCTCAAATATTGGTACGATTGCCTGATTCCCTGAGTTATGATCCTCTAATGCAAAGGATATAATTATTCGATTAATTATTTTTGTCCTACCCTCAATTCTATCTTAGTAACTTAGCTATTCGAGCACAACTGTTCTTAGTGAAAACACAGCAAAATCCGGCTTAACTCCTATAATTATTTCCTTTTTTTTTTCTAGTCGAACGTTGTAGTGTGCTCACACGACAATTTTGTTTTTTCATCAACTTTAATGCTCAAGGTGTTATGAGAATAATGGATTGAAATTTGACAGATTTATACAACCGTATAAATTTAGGGGATTTAATTTAAATGTTCTCTAAAACGTGCTATTATAAATCGAGTCGGCTTGTTTGATAAAAAAAATGAAACTTGATTCTAAATCTCTGATGAGTCCATTCTCTGCTTGCATGCTATGTTATGATCGAACGTTTTATCAATTTCTAGTTTTGTACGGTTTCCTCGTGCCTTTTCCTTTTCTCTTTTCAATTCGACTAGATTTTCATGGATGTCGACTGCATTCATTAACCAGGGAGCCAATATGTATTTGGCATCGATGATCTCAACATGGAAAGCATCGATCTTACCTCAAACACCAAGTGCTGTGAACAAAAAGCCATCTTCAATCCTATCCTTACTACCCAATTCATCTCCCATAGAAGAAAAGGCTTCAGATATTATAAGGTACCGACACTTGTTACTCTTGAGTCATCTTAATCATTCGAACAAGTTGTTTGACAAACACGATATCTTCCCCAGAATTTAATACAGGACGCCCTCACTTACCATAAGAGAGTATCCAATGAATACAAGCACTTGTCCATACTGTACGAGGACATTGACAATGAGTCAAGCTTACAGTTCGACCCATGCCCCGTGTCCTCTTCTCCCGGCATACATCTCCACGCCATCGGGACACAGCCATCTCAGGAAACGCCCGATCCCGACTGGGAACTAATCTAACGGGTACGTTTTGAAAATCATTGTATATTTATTTATTTATTTTTGCCTACATATAGTTGGTATTTAGAGCTCAATTTGGTGACGAGCATAATTTTTTCGAAGAATGCTATTGATGAAACTCAAGAAAGTTTATATGCACGACTTGATTGAGATACATATTTGAAATATTTGCTTGATTAATATTTGTCTAAAAAGTTTTGATTTTTTGATTTTGTGTTTTTACATGATCTATATAGAATTGTATGAAGAATACAAAAAAGAATATTTTAGGTTAGAATTAGTAAAATTATAATAGATGGAATAACGAAGTGTAAAATTTGAATGAATAATCTATTTTAATTTATTTACTTACTTTAGATCTTAATATAACTCAGATACGATTGTTTCAGAAATATTCAATGATAATATAATTAATATGAATATCTATTTTTATGAAAAATTATTTTATATATTAAATTCAATTGCAATAGACTCTATGATATATTTTTTTATATAAATAAATTAAGTATATATAATACAATTATACATAATTAAAAATAATTGAATTTATGTGATTATTTTAAAATTAACATACTCCTTCTACTCTTTTAGCAAATTATCTATTTTTTTAAATATTTTTGTCCCTTCTCTTTTTTATCTTTAAATAAAATTTATCTTTACTTTTAATAAACAAAAAATATATAATATTATTTATATATATATATATTTTTTTAGAATTGAGTTTTAAATTTTTGTTTTAATTATATCCTCATTTATAGTAATTTTTTTTGTTTCATTATTTTTTACTATTTTTTCTTTCAAATTAGTCTCATATTTTTTCTTGTTTTATTTCATTTTTATTTATTTTATATCTTTTTTTCCAAATAATTTAAAATTTAAAATTTGAATTTGGAACCATATGTTTATTTTTGTAGTAGTATTATTTTTTATCTTCTTTAATAATTTTGAATTTAAAATCTAATTTGAAATGTATAAAATTTTGGAATTATATATATATATTCTAAGGAAGTAATTTGGACAAAATTAAATTTCAACAAGTGGGTTATATACTATAATTTTTATAAGAGTAAGTTATATTAATTATTATTTATAAAATTATATTTTATCTCAAATTTCTTGCAACAATAATATTAATTTAGGAAAGTTTTTATTTTTATTTTTTCTAATTAGTGTAAAGGTGAATCATACTAATAATTATGATATTTTGTCCCACATCAATTTTTAAAAACAAATCATAATTATCATATTAATATATATTTGAATATTATATGACCATATATACTTTATCTCACATAATTTTCAACAAAAAACTAATTTCATAATATAATTATTATAAATATAATAATCTATATTATAAAAATTTTAGAACTCCATATTTAAGAAAGATAATATTAAATTAATTATTTTTAATTTTTAAACTATTTTTATAAAAATAGGTCATTAAAACAATAATATATAATGTTATATTTTGTATGAAAGTACTTCTAACAATAAAAAGTAATAATGATTAGTATCATATCATATTAACCATATTAATATATATTTGAAGAGTATATTAATATATCTTTGAAGAGTGTATGATCCACCATGGACAATATTAATATTAATTTCACTTTTATTTTATTTTACTCTTTCCGTTTCCGTTTCAATTCAAATTACAATTTTTACTATTCTCGTTTGTCTTATTTCAAAATATTCATTTCTTATTTTAGAAATACTAATCATACATTCATACAAAATAATTTTTAATTTTTACTTAAATTACACATATATATCATTACACATATAATTATTTTATACAAAAAGTCAAAAGGCAAAAATGTTAAAATCTCGTGTACACTTACAGTAACCAATAAAATATTACTCCCTCCGTCCCATAACAAAGTATCTATTTTTCCATTTTAGTCCGTCCCATAACAAAGTATCAATTTTTTTAGTAATCGTACTATCTATCTAACATTACAAATACCCTTATAACTTACAATATATTACACAAATGTCATTACCTTTATATCACACATACTAATAAAGTTATTTTAGTCATTTATACTTTATTCCTATTATATCCTAATATAATATTAATATTTCTAAAACTAGGTGCAAAAAGCAAATGAATATTTAGTTTCGGGATGGAAGAAGTATTCTTTTTTAATTTATTACAAAATCAAAAGGACTCCTTTAAAAAGAGAGGGAGTGAATCTCTATTTTAACTGAATATATTTGTTTTCAAAGATTTTGAAGAATTTTCACTATTAATATAAATTTTTTTTCCCCAAAAATATCAAATTAAACGCTTTTTTTTTATATATATTGTTTTAAAAATTAATTTTACATTCAAAATATTAGATCAATATTTATTATATCACATCATATAACTATTCTAATTTAAAAGTTTTATATTCAAATCTCAAGTCAAAATCCAAACCTCCAAACAAACACACACTAAAAACGTAATATATAAACACACCATTTATTAATTAATATATGATTTTTTAAAATGTTATTTTTTTTATATTTTAAAAAAGTAAATAAGTTGATAGAAAATTAATAAAATTATATAATTAATATTAAAATACCAGTGCATAGCACGGACTACAAGGTAGTATATATATATATTTGATATGACATTTTAATTTATGCATTCTCATAATTTTGACAATTTTTAAATTAAAAAAATTAATTTGAAAATTTTATATATAAAAAATAATAAGAAAATAATATATATTTAACAATAATAAACAAATAAACAACTTTTGAAATTCAGATATTTTTTAAATATTTATCAACTAAATCAAACAAATTTTTCAAATCACATAAAAAGAAAAAAAAAAAAAACTTTATCTATACATACGAAACCTTAATATATATATGTATAAATATATAAATAGAAGAAGATTTGAATTAGAAAGGGTGCAGTTAAGATCTAAGACTTTGATATCATATTAGATCGTGAAAATGACCGTTTCACCTAAATTTTTAGAGATATGTATCGTTTATTTATTTATTTACACCGAGAGTCCATCAACTTATTGCATCTTGAGGCAAGTGCGTGTTTGTTTGTGATTATAGAGAAATTTATCTTTTTTATTTTTTTCGATTGATTTTGAAAAATTTAAAAATTTTTTTGAAAGATTGAGCTGTTTTAAGAAAATGAAACTTAAAGTATCTCAAGAATGAAAAATATGTGGTTAGTGCAATTTAAAAGAATGGATGTGATTGGTCCATTCGTGCTTAAGTATAATAAAAGGGAATACTTTTCAAATAAAAACTTTTAAGAGAAAACATACTTGTGCATCCATGACAAAAAACTCACAACATACTTCAAGTGTTATTATGTAATTACATATATTTATGGTTATTATTATTATTATTATTATTTCATATGTGTTTTGATGAAATAATTTTTTAACACAATATTATGGTTGTAGAGTGGTATATGCAGTAACGGAACCAATTTTGGAATGTAAGGGGGGCCAAATACCTGTCAAAATTTTTAATAGTCAATAAATAATAAATCAATAAATAAATAAAACCAAAATAATAAAATAATTTTATCTTCGACAAAAGTTAATGCCATAAACTAGAAGTATTAAGAGAGCAATTTATGTCTTCGATGTCCCATACTTTGAAATCGCTTCATAATAACATCGTTTTCAATTTTCACAAAAACTTCTTTCTCAATGTAACATACCAAACAATCTGTCAAAAATTCGTCTCCTATCTTGGTGCGCAAGTCATTCTTAATAATTTTCATCGTGGAGAATGATGTTTCAACTGTAGCTGTCGTAACGGGTAAAATGAATGCCAACTCAATAAGTCGATACACTAACCTATAAGTTGTGTGTCATTCCATAGCAACTATCTTTTTTGCCAAATCTCCAATATTTTCCAATCCCGAGAAAGGTGAAGATGATTTAACAAATGTAATGAATAGCTTGAGTTGTTCTTCCAATTCACATTTTTCCCTTGAATTGAAATCATCCGAATATAATTCAGTAAGACGAAGTAGTCGCTTTTGATCAAAATTTGAAAATGAGTCTTTAGGGCTTAAGCATGCTATGCACTACGAACTTGACTCTGTAAAGCGATTATTCATCTCTTGAATAAGACGATCAACAACCTATAATTATAAAAATTAAACCAATGATTCATAAATATATATATATGTTAATATCAAACAAAGCAGAAAAATATACCTCAAAAAATATATCAACCTGTTGAACAATTTTCATATTCGACACACCAATATTATGTTTCGAACAAAATGCAGTGACTTTCTCAAACAACTCCTCCCAACCATAATTATTCCTATAATTATTCAAGTCATTCTTCACACCTTCAACAAGAATTAAAATATTACCTATGTTCTGATTCTTTTATTGAAAATTCTTTGATAACATATTTGTTTTTTACAACAATTGCATCATTAAATGAGCAATGAATACAAAATCAAATGTTACCATTTTCTCAACCAAACTCAAAGCAGATTTACTTTTGAGATCAACTCCATCATTGAATATAACTTCAAGCACATCAATCATTGCATCTCATATATCTAGAACTCTTGAAATTGTTTTCAAATGAGAACCCCAACGAGTATCACTAGGTCGAACTAGAGTTTTTTCTTGATTTTTCCCCTTTCCGGTGCTAATATCACCACTTTTTATACCCTCAACAAGATTTTCGTAGTGTCTTTGTAAAAGATCGTCTTTTCTTTTAGATGATACCCCAACTACATTCACAATCATCACAAGATAATCGAAAAAATTACCGACTATTCCATTATTCTTTAAAGATGTCACAATCACTAATTGAAGTCGGTGAGCAAAACAATGAACATAGTGTGCTTGCTTATTTTCATCCAAAATTTTTTGTTTTAAACCATTAATCCTACCACTCATATTAGAGGCTCCATCATAACCTTGAGCTCGAACCTTAGACAACGAAAGCGCATTCTTTGCAAAAAATTCATCAATCGCATTTTTCAATGACTATGCAGAAGTATCAGTTACATGCATCATTCCAAGAAATCTCTCTATCACCTCTCCACGATCATTAACAAATCTCAAAATTATAGATATTTGCTCTTTTATTGAACTATCTCGAGCTTCATCAATCAAAAGCGAAAAATATTTGCTACCAATCTCATTAACAATAGCTTGTCTTACCTCGGTTGCACAAGCATTAGTAATTTCCTTTTGAATTT